TTTTATTTTCACTTGCAAATCTTAAAATACATATTTTCCCTCATGAAACTGAAGGTTTTGTATATGAAGATGAAGTCAAGGTGTCTGTTTCATAGCTGACATCTTGGAAGTGTTGGTGATTGCCCTATACAGACATTACAGCTGGCCATATACTTTCACCTTCTCTCATTTGATCTCTGAACCATCCTGGTGCTAGAGAGGGAAGGCAGCATCATCTCCATTGACAGATGAGCTCCTCCTGTGTGTGAGGCAGCGTATGTCAGACATGGCCACATTCCCAAGCCCTTCTCCAACCCTAGCATGCTCTCAAGAAGTCCTTTCCTTCCTTCCAGGCCCTAGAGACCCAGCCTGCTTTCCTGGCCCTGAAAGTTGGCCCTCCACTTGCCCCGCACTCATCTTATAGCACTGGTAGCAGAGTAGAATGGGGGTTCTCAACTCCTCTCCTTCTTCCTATACATGAAATAAGTTCCTTTCATTTTAATGCTTTGTAGCTCTTCACTCCGGAGAGCCAGATGAAGTATCAAAAATAACTAACACACGGCATACCTAGGTTCCAGAAATGCCACTGTGTTTGTGTAGCCTGTAGAAATGCGGCTGGGGCTGCCTTCCTCATTGCACTTTCTCCGAGTCCCTTCTCAGAATTCTCCCATGGAGATTTCCCAGGTTCTTCACCCCATCTCCTGATAGCCTTGGCCTCCTTGAGATTGGTTGTAGATGTGGACATGAAAGAGACCAGTCTAGTTTGCAGTATTTTAGGACATGTTACTGACCTCGTACTGTCTGCTTGGTGTAATGGGAGCAGGTCCAGCAGGCTCAGCTCAAAATATAGTGCAACAGAGTTTCCACAATTCTTCCATGGCCCCGTCTGCATGCCCTCCTTTCCTCTGTCATTACATTAACTCACATTTCATGAGATGCAATAAGTAATCAGAACAGGGAAGATGATATCCTACAAATGTGATCTCTACTCCTGACCTGGAAAGTTTTGTCTTTGGGAATTTAATCTTGTGCATATCTTGTGACATATAGCACCTGACCATTATTACTTAGAATGGTCCTAGATGGATTTTGGTGCTCTTAATGCTTGGCATGAAGGGTCTCACTGAGAGCCATCTATGTCATCGGTAGATGAGATGAACACCAGAACTGCATTCAATATACATGTCAAATAGGGAAAAAGTGAAAGAATCCAGCTCAAAGGATTACCCTGTCATATATTACAAAAGGGAATGCAGTGATCATTAGATATTCTTGTCCGTAGGTAAGAAAATATGGAATATTAGAAAGCTATTGTAGTACATAACCAGGACAAGGTGATGCCAAGGGATGCAGGCCAGGGCGTGTTTGAGATAGCCCTTGGTTTCTGCCTCAGTCCCTTAAGCTTGGCTCATGCCTAGTTTTTTTTTTTTTTTTTTTTTGGGGAAATGAACCCCGAGCTAACATCCATGCCAATCCTCCTCTCTTTGCTGAGGAAGACCGGCCCTAAGCTAACATCTATTGCCAATCCTCCTCCTTTTTTCCCCCCCTTTTTCTCCCCAAAGCCCCAGTAGATAGTTGTATGTCGTAGTTGCACATGCTTCTAGTTGCTGTATGTGGGACGCTGCCTCAGCATGGCCGGACAAGCAGTGCATCGGTGCGCGCCCAGGATCCGAACTCGGGCCGCCAGTAGCGGAGCGAGCACACTTAAGTGCTTAGCCATGGGGCCAGCCCCTCCATGCCTAATTTATCCAATTTGATTTGAGCATTCCCCCCATCCGTCCTCTCCTCAACCTTTATCTTGGGACTTACACTATAGAGCAAACTGAAGCCTTTTTATTGAAGACTGTTGCACTACCAAGGAACATATAAAAAGCAAGCTTTTCTTTGGAGAGATAAAGCCTATTTAGCTCATCTGCTTTTAAAATTGAGAATTAAGAATAGAAAATATAAGCTTTCCTAAAGCGGTTAAACAAATAATAAGAGAAAAGGGTTGGAAGAGAAAAGAAAGAAATGAGAAGGAAAAAAAGAGGAGAGGAAGAAAGAGAAGGTCAAGAGAGAGAAAGAGCAGGTGAGAAAGAGAAAGAGATTGAAGAACAGAGTATGGAGGGTGTAAGCACAGAGGCAGACAGGCTGGAATTAAGAGTATAGCTTTGCTGCCGGAAATCTGGATTCCCAATCTACGAAAATCCTACATCAAATATTATATTTAGTGGTGAAATATTGAAAGGATCTCCCTGAGATTAAGAATGAGACTAGGATGGCTACTGTCTAACTACTTCTATTCAACCTCCTACTGGAGATCTTAGCTAGTGGAGTAAGGCAGGAAAAACAAATGTAAGGAAAGGAAGAAGTAAAACTTACTATTCACAGTGACATGATTTGTGTGCATGGAAAATCTCAAGGTGACTTTAGCAAGGTCTCTGGTTACAAGGTTAATATAGAAAAATCAATTGTATTTCTATATATGAGCACAAAGAGAAATGGAAATTTATAGAATTCTGCTTTCAATAACAAAAAAAGCTTCAGATGTCTTTCTGAGCCTCATTTTCCTCAAGTGTAAAATTAGGGCCACAACAACAATAACAACAATAACAATAATAGCAGCAGCAGCTAGGGTCTATCGAATATCTGTAATATGCCAGACAGTGTTCTGAATGTTTACATTGGTTATTTCTTAACCTTCATGACAGCCCTTTCATGTTTTTTGTGAGGGTTAAATGAGGTAATTTATATAAAACACTTAGTAAATTGCATTGCGTATAATAAATTCTCAATGAATTTTAGCTATATAAAAACAACCAGGGCCGGCCTGGTGGCTTAGCGGTTAAGTGCACGCGCTCCGCTGCTGGCGGCCCGGGTTCGGATCCCGGGCGTGCACCGACGCACCGCTTCTCCGGCCATGCTGGGGCCGCGTTCCACATGCAGCAACTGGAGGGATGTGCAGCTATGACATGCAACTATCTGCTGTGGCTTTGGGGGAAAAAATAAATAAATAAAATCTTAAAAACAACCATTATTTTAGAGACGCATAGACTCAGTGGTTAGTAGAACTAAGCTGCTTTTCACTTGGTGTAAGATTTGTAGAATAAACCGTATGCATTGTTGTTGTTTTAAAGAAATTTTAAGTAGCTTATTAATTCATTTATTCAGCCAGGCACTGCTCTTGGGTCTAGGAATGCAGTGGGTATGCAAAATAGACGAAATCCATGCGCTAATGGAGTTTACAATTTAGTAGGGGAAACAAACATTAATCAGATGGTATCATGGATTGTGCTATTAGAATATGAGCTGAGTTTAGAAGGATAGGTGGAATGGGGAGAGGTAGGAGAATATTCCATGCAGAGGAAGCAGTCTTTCTGAAGTGGGTAAGGGTTGTGGGTAGAGGGAGAGCTCAGCATGTTTCAGGAAGTGACTGGAAAAAATGGGTGGTTGGAGCTCAGAGAATGAGGAGAGGGTTGTTGTATGAACTATGGCTGCAAAGCAAGACAGGGGACAGGTCATCAAAGCTTTGGGAGGCTTGGTAAGCATTTTCCCAGTTATCCTAAGAACAGTGGCGTGCAGGAGGGTTTTATGCAAAGGAATGATGTGGTCAGATTAGGATTTTGAAAATATTTCTCCCCTGAGGAGGCTACTACTGTAGTCAGGGAAAATATGGAAGTGTAACTCAGGCTAGGGCACCAGTAATAGAGATAGGAATTAGTGGGAATATTCAAGAGATGTTTAAGGTAGAATTGATGAGGTTTGGTATCAGCTTGGGTGAGGGAGGAGGGATGCCCCACTGAGGCCTCCCTCCTAGGATCTGACTTGAAGAGCTGGGTGACTAGGAGTGACATCCACTAGAGGTGAGGATAGTCTTTTCTTCACTGTTAAATAGCTTTACTAAGTCTATATTGAAACTTCAGAGTGTATTTGAAAAGGATATATTTTCCTGTGGAAATTTGAATGTCTTACTCACGGGGAAAGGAATGACAGGTGTAAGATGCGGATTTTGGAAGCTTAGAGATGTTTACTCCTTGTTTCCCCTTTGACTTTCAAAAGATGTCAAGTTGTTATATCTATAGTCTTAAAAAAAAGGCAGGGATAATCAAATTTATAAATTCCTGAAGATCACATTTAGAATCCGTCTCCTACCCTCTCCCCTCCATCAAATCTGTTTCTCCAATCTGAAAAAATGAATGGATTCAGTACAGAAACCTGTATGACTTCAACTTATTTTTATCAACATTTTAAGTCTTTTCTCCCTAGGTCACCAAACAGTTAGACATGAGAAAAGAATTCTTGGGGTTGGAACATTATTGCCTCATCCAATGATTGTCCAGACTGGGTCAAATTAAGATTTAGCTGCTCTGACGTTCTCTGCCTCTGGTTTAGAATGTATTTGGCGGGTATTGTAGGGCTAGAAAAGACCTTCACATCTCTTGGTCAAAGCCTTCATCTGATGCTGGTGGTGCTGGAGTAGATCTGAGCAAGCCTGTGAGAAGGCCCTGGAGTTGACCCAGGTTCCCCAGGACTGACTGGGGCTCCCCAAGCCTTGGCATTATCTCAAAGAAGGTCTGAGGCGGATCAGAGTTTGAGCCTTCTGAACTTCTTCCCATTTTTATGTAGCAGAAATTATCCTGTAGACCCCCCAGAAGGGAAGAGAAGCCACTTCTCTTTAGTCAGAGGGGAATGTGAAATTGGGGGTAGTCTGACCCTTTGCTTAGGTACTGGACAGGGAGTGAAGGATGTGGCTGATGGTGTGTGTGTGTGTACCACCCTCAGGTCAGGTGGTAGACTGTCTCTCACACTTACACACGCACACCAGCATCCTCAGCCTGTGCCTGTCTCTGTGTCACAGCCTACCAGCCTTCTTGGTGTAGAGGAATGGGAGCAGGACTTGCTGTGCTGTCTGGTTCCCTGCAACTACTGGACTCTGAGGCCAGAGTGAAATCTGAGCATGGGAGCTCTCGTGGGCTGCATCTTTCCTCTCCCTCCCACCATTCCCAGCCAACAGCCTGACTCTGCCCTGTCTGCTCCTGCAGCACTCCACTTCGGTGAGCATCATGGGCTTTTCCAACACTCTGGAGATGGAGCTGTCATCTACCAGGCTGGCGAGGACCGTAGAGCCACAAATCCAGAGCGTGAGCAGCCTGACATCTGGCCACCCCCGGGCAGTACCAAGCCTGCTGAGTGGCCCCCCCACAACTGTGTCCAGCCTGACAAGCAGTCAAAACCAGGCTATGCCCAGCCTGACAGCCAGTCACCTGCAGACCATGCCCAGCCTTGTGCGTGGCACACCCCACTCCGTGTCCAACCTGATGAGTGATTCCTCCCAGGCCATCACAAGCCTAGCAAGTGATCACTCTCAGGCTGGGCCCTTCCTGATGTCTGGTCCCACCCAGGCTATGCCGAGTCTCGCAACTTGTCCTCTGCAGAGCATGCCTCCGGCTTCTGACATGCAGCCGGAAACTGGATCCAGCTGCAGTCCTGGCTCTGGCCGAGCTGCAGGAAGCCTGTGCCCTGGGGATGGGGCTGACCCCTCCCTGGTGAATACCCTGTGTAAGGTAAGTCCTGGGGAAATGCCACTCAACTTCCTCTGCTCATCACTGGGCAAAAGGGTGGCCTCTGAAGGACTTATCCTGGCCCTAGCTTAACAGCTCTGTGACTGCTAACACAGACATTTCTTTGATTTCTTTGATTTTTGTTGGCCTTTCACCTTTGAAAGATGGAAAGTGAGGATTCTGCCCGCTTCACTGACTCTCTGGGACAAGGCTCCATAGCCCCTGGTCTGGATGCTTCCAAGGACTTGGCTATCCCCTCAGAACTGGAGGAGCCAATTAACCTCTCTGTGAGAAAACCTCCATTGGTCCCAGTGGTCAACACATCCACGGCTCTGCAGCAGTACTGGAACCCAAAAGGTGAGACTTGAGTAAGCAGCTGCCTTTCATGCTGGCCACAGACTTGAGCAGATGGGCTCAGCACTTCCAGGTGAGAGAGGTCAGCAGGCAGGCTCTAAGCCTGAGGGAGCAGTGTTTCTCTCTCAGGCTACACTCACTTCTCCCCTCCAGAACTGCCTTACCGATACCTGCTGTATTTCCCTCACTGTGGCCATGGCTGATCCAGGCATGGCCAGGATTTAGCCTCCTTGTAATATTCCCCATGTAAAAAGTTCTGGGAGTCTGGGTTATAGGTAGGAGGTAACAGGAAGAACTCACCCGAGAAGAGCTAGCCTCGGCAAAATATTTTAGGGAAAAGAGCATGTCTGACTTGGGAGTCAGATAGATCTAAGTTAGGAAACCAGCTCTGTCTCTCTGTTTGATCCTTGGCAAGATACTAGTCTTTCTGAGCTAGTTTCTTTCTCTGTAAATAGAGCTAATCATAGCTGCTTCACAGGCTCCTGGGACAGATAACTACAGTGAAATCATTCGATGACTTACTCTGCAGCAACAAGAATGCGCCTTGCACTGGCAGTAACATGGGTCGGTGTTGTGCCTCATAGTAAAGGGAATTTGGACCGGTGGAGACTGGCTCTGATCCTCTTCTCAGCTACCTCCACCCCTTCTCAAATGGGGCTGGGCTAAGGTTTCTGTCTTCTGGAAGCTGAGGGCTAGTTGGGAAGTTAGACAGCAACTGCCAAGGGAGCATTTGGGAGTTTTTCAGTTCAGTGTAGACTTTTTCAGTTTAGTTCTGTGTAAACCCAGCGCACAAACTGAGTTTAGTTTGGAATGATGGTTCTATTTCCTATATATTTAATAAATGAAAATGAAACAGTTTTTCTCCTTTTTTCCTCATACTGACTGAAAGACCAACTGAATGATCATTGGTCCTTATTAACTGCACAATAATGTAACCCTGAATTTTAAGCAGTTAAATATTTGGGACAGTGCCCAAGACAGTGTCTGGTGCTGAGTGGGTGCTCAGGAAATGTTAGTTTCCTCCTCTATCCCCACACTGCCTCCTGCCCGTCTACACAGCCTGCACCACTCTGGGTAGGGCTCCCGGGAGCCTCTTGCCCATGGAGTGTGAGCTGGATTCTCAGGCAGTGCCAGAATCCCAGCACTTGGCTGAAAAGGCAGAGGCTGGACAGAGTGCCTCCTGAGGGCAGGTAACACCAGTGTATGTGGAACAAATGATTTCTGAGCTCATTTCCAAGGTGAGAAGCTGGCCCCTCAGCGCCTGACCCAACACTCACCCGTGGGCAGCCTCTGAGTGTCATCTGTGTTTATCTTTTTAAAAGAAGGTGACCTTCTTCCCCTCCTAGGAAGGAGAGCCACAGTAGGATTGTTACTACCATGAATGATTACAGTGTGGGTAACAATCATGTGACAGGTGTGTGGCTAAAGGTATGAGTAACAGATATGAGTGGGAGGTGTGGGTGACAGGGTATGTTGTCATAAATGTATGTCACAAGTATTTATTTGTCTTTTGCCTTAGAGTGTGAGAATTTTAAACAAGGAGCCCTAGAGCTGGATACAAAAGAGAACCAGAGCATCAGGTAACAGACTCTTGGCCCGACCTCCCTCTCCCACCCCCAACTTCATGTCCTGGGAGGTTGGCGCAGGAAGTAAGCATCCTCGATGACTTAACCAGAAGCACACGTTTACCTGCAACTGTTTTCTTCAACCCCTGGACCCTCAGGTGGGGTCTGTGTGGTTGGGCATCTGGGATGATTGGGGGAGGATGTCCTGGCTCCTGCACTGGGGCATGCACTCTGTGTGCAGTCCTGTCTCTTGAGGGACCCCCCTTCTATAACTAAAGGGCTACCCAGAGGCTGACAGGGCTTGGCCAGGCAGAGCTGGACAGGAGGCCAGAATATGGCCCTGTAGAGGGTTGGACTGAGGAGATCTTGAGCAGCAATTCAGTTGTGGGATCATGGATGAGCCTGACTTAGAGGCTGGGCCAGAGGAGGATCCCATCAAGACCCAGGGGTGTCTCTCTTGCCATAGACCCTTCATCAGTCAGCCCAAGATTCCCTACGTGCGCCTGGAGCGACTCAAGATCTGTGCTGCCTCTTCGGGAGAGATGCCTGTGTTCAAGCTGAAGCCACAGAAGAATGATCAGGATGGGAGCTTCCTGCTGATCATTGAGTGTGGCACTGAGTCCTCCAGCATGTCCATTAAGGTACCACTTTGCTCTGCCTTGACCTTGAACCTTGGCCCAGCCTAGGAGCCTCTCTTTTCTCTCTGCTACTGCCAGAATTCTGGCTCTAGCCTTGTCCTGAGTCTCTGAGTGGGGCTGTAGCTTGGCCAGACTTTGTCTCATAGGCAAGGGGCCTGTGAGATGCACATTAAGAGTGAGCCGTCCCAGCATTCATGAGGCTTAGCTGGCTTGGGGTCCTAGAATAAGTGGGTGCCCAGGGCTTGTTAGGCCCACTCCTCCCTCACTCAACAAGTTGTTGGTGCTATGCTCTGACGGCTCAGACTCACTGCTTCCCCAAGGTCAGCCCGGACAACCTGCCTGATGCCATCCAGGCCCCAAGTCTCGGGGGAAGAAAGGTCACTGTCACTTCTCTGGCTGGGCAGCGGCCCCCAGAGGTGGAGGGTGCATCTCCTGAAGAACACAGACTCATTCCTCGAACCCCTGGAGCCAAGAAGGGGCCCCCAGTACCCATAGAGAATGAGGACTTCTGTGCTGTGTGCCTCAATGGGGGAGAGCTGCTGTGCTGTGACCGCTGCCCCAAAGTGTACCACCTTTCTTGCCACCTGCCAGCCTTGCTCAGCTTCCCAGGGTGAGTCATGCCAATCCAGGGCCATCACCTGGATAACAGGGTGATCCCCTAGGGATGATTATTCTAGGCCAGGCCCACAGAGATCCCTCGGATGGGCTTCCTCCCCTCTCTGGAGGAAGGGGGATACAATACTTGCAGGCCTGTGAGTTAGTGGCTCTACAGCTGTCTGCCTTCTGACCACAGACGGGTAGATGTTTGAAATTTGGGTGGCTTCCCTTCCTCCTCTGTTCCCACCTTCCTCCTGGACACAGATTTGTCCCCATACTACCCTCCCAGCCCCTTGCCAACTCTAATTTTTCTGGATTCTGAGTTACTGAATGTTTTCTAGCTTGTGGCTAGGAAGCCATTCCTACAGGACAGGGCTAGGGACTCAGTTTCCCTTGCCACCATCCCCCATGCCTGTCTTGGGGCAGAGGGACAGGGGAGGGGGCTGTGTGTGTGGGCAATGTGATTAGGTCTGACTTAGCCTCACCTGCCTCCGCAGGGGAGATTGGGCATGTACCTTGTGCCGCAGCCTGACCCAGCCCGAGATCGAGTACGATTGCGAGAATGCGCGCTATAACCAGCCTGGAGTGCGGGCCCCTCCGGGCCTGAGCATATATGACCAGAAGGTAGGGAGGGGTCTCCGGGAACAAGTTTCCCCGCCTGGGACAGCCTCCCTGTACCTACAGGGGCTGAGGCCTTTCCCAGGGGATGAGAGCCTCTCTGGGTACCTCTCTTTTGGTCTGTGCCTAACAGCTTGGCCTATGGGGCTTTGCTCTGATTTTCTTTCTGCCAGCTGTTTTCCTCTGGCCTGGGAGTCTGAACTGTGCCTTAGTATGGGGGCTCGTACCCTGTGGGACAGAGTTATCAGGATCGCTATCTTTAGTTCTTATTGAGGTGAGGCCAGAACAGGATAACACTTGCCCATTCTGATGTCTGCAGAAGTGTGAGAAGCTGGTGCTGTCCTTGTGCTGCAATAGCCTCAGCCTGCCCTTCCATGAGCCCGTCAGCCCGCTGGTAAGGAAGGCCTCGCTGTTTCTGCCTGCCCCTGTGCTTCCTGCTCACAGTGCCTAGGCCTGGGGGCAGGTCACGGTGGTGGGCTCAGAGCCTGGCCACCGGAGGTATGATTAATTTGTGGATGGTCTAGAGGACTCGGGGGGCCATGGCCACCACAGCGCCAACCCTCCCCGCCCCCCTAAACTGCTGCATCAGACTTGACTTGGCAAGTGAAGCATTCCTCTTTTTCCCTTTCTCTCTGTCTTTTTCCTCCATACTTCTTTTCTTGCTGCCTTTCTCTTTCTTATGTTCTTTCACTTCTGTTCCAACTCACTCTCCATCTCTCCTTCCTTCTTATCTATATCTCCACTTCTTCTCTCTTCCTGCTTTGCTTCCCTTCTCTCCTCCCCCTGAGGCCCGGCATTACTACCAGATTATCAAGAGGCCTATGGACCTGTCGATCATCCGGAGGAAGCTGCAAAAGAAGGACCCAGCTCACTACACCACCCCAGAGGAGGTGGTGTCAGATGTGCGCCTCATGTTCTGGAACTGTGCTAAGTTCAATTATGTATGTCTTGCCTGTCTTCCCTCTCCCCTATTTCCCAGTGACCCCAAGACTGTCATGGCTGGATGAGGGTGTCAGGTTTGGTCCTGGGCTGCTATGAGGACCTGGGAGCAGACCTTCTGGGGCCTACCGTAGTGAGTGTTTTAAAAGCTCTCTCCCACACTTGGGCCTCAGCATGGACTCAGGAGGAAGATGGGGAGTGCTAGTGATTGGCCATCTGTGGGGACCTGTCAGGGTCACTTCTGCTTTAGGAGCTGATACTAAACTGGTTATCCTGAGTCCTGAGGAGAGAACATTAAGTTCCAACATTCGGGAGACCCAGCCAGGCTTTGAGCTGTCTGTATAGCTCTTGAGGGACCTGGAAGAGATGGGCTGGTGGAAAAGGGCCAGACCATCACTGCTCTCCTCGCTTTCAGCCCGACTCAGAGGTTGCCGAGGCTGGCCGCTGCCTGGAAGTGTTCTTTGAGGGCTGGTTGAAGGAGATCTACCCGGAGAAACGGTTTGCCCAGCCAAGGCAGGAGGACTCAGACTCGGAGGAGATGTCTAGCGAGAGTGGGTGTCCCACTCCCCAGGGCTTCCCGTGGCCCCCCTACGTGCAGGAGGGCATCCAACCCAAGAGGCGGCGGCGACATATGGTAAAGAGTTGCTGCCAGCTGGCAGGCAGGTGGGTGGGAGGGTGAGTGGGCAGGCAGGGGGCACCCGAGCAGCATGCACAGAGCAACCTAAAGTGAAGCTGCTCAGGTGGCACAAGAGAAAGTGCTGACAATGAACCCTCACTTCCAACCCCTTAGCCTATCAGGAAGACAGGGCAGTGGGGGCTCGTCAGCTCCAGTTACCACTGAGGCTCAAAACTCAGAGAGGTCAAGGTCACCTAGCAAATTAGCAGCAGAAGCAGCGTGAGAAACCAGGCCTCCTGACTCCCAGCTCAGTGCTGGTTATTCTACGCTGTGATCCCATAAGAAGAGAGGTACCTGAGCTCAGTGCCTGATCTCAACTTGGGTCTGGGAGAAAGGAAGGGATCTTTTCAGCCCCTTGGTATAGAGCAGGAAGGGGAGGTGTTGCTTGCAGCAAAGAGAGCTCCTCTGACTTTTTGGCTGGTCCCACCTGGGCAGACCTGGAACATCAATTCAATGCTATTTAATTCCACGAAAGTGTATTGCCTGCCCACTGTGTACCGGGGTCTGACCAGCCATCCCCAGTTGTTTATGACACTTAGCACACAACGCTTAGTGGCTTTAGTGAGTTTTACTGTTTTATTCCTGGGGTAAAATAAAACACTTTGAGGAATCCCAATCTGGACACTGAGCCTTTCATGTTAATAAATCCTACATTTGGCCGCTCTAATTCCATATATCTTTTCTCTTTCAGGAGAATGAAAGAGCAAAGAGAATGTCGTTCCGCCTGGCCAACAGCGTCTCCCAAGTGTGAGAACGGGAAGGAGGCTGAGCACTCTGGCAGCTGTGTCCCGTCCTCTTGACCACTCCTCCCCACCTTTCAGCTCATCCTCTTCAGATTGTGGACGTGAGATGAGTCTTGTCAAGCTGTGTAGTGCTCTTCTTTGCCATTTGCATCTTACAGCATTTATTTGGAAGCCATAGTGCATCCACTTCAGAGAAGATTTCAGTAATAAACAGCGAAGAGGGAAGTATGCCCTATTACCAGAATAATCAGATGTGTAGGGTCCACTTGACAAGACCAAGCCTAGTCAGGCTCAGGAGGACCTAAATTCCTTGGTGAATTTTTTCTGCCGAGGAAAGCAGACTTTTCTCACCTTCCAGTGTACAGGGCTCAGGAATAATGTATATATTTGAATTCCTCCTGGGCCCAAAAGAAGGGAGAGAGGTTCTGACATATGGCAGGCCTGTGATCCCTGGCCTAGCACAGCCAAAGACTGTCACTGTTTGCCTTTGCTTGGCCTGCTGGGACAGAGGCACCTGCCCTGGGCAGGGTAAGGGAGGCTTCTAGAGGCCATAGGTCTCGATTGGTGCCTATTCGGGTTCTAACGGTTTTCAGGGTATTTGTTCTTCATGCCCCCTTTCCTGTGTTGACTTAGGTGGCCACTGTGAAAGTGCTCTGGATGGTATGGCATTCTTGACTGGGCTGGGTGGCTGTGCAAAAGACCACTTACTCAAATTTCACTTGCAGGCCTAAGAAGATATCAACTTCAGAGCCTACCCTCTGTGCCACTTACTTTGGGCTAACAGCTTTTCTTTGGTGTCAGAACCTACCTTCCTAGAAGTGATTGTTGGTGGCCATCCCTTCATTATCTCCATTCAGAGATCTGGATCCTGACTTCTTCTTGGAAAGACTATGAGGCACAGAGTTTCTGGGCAAGGAGAATGACCCATAACCAGCTCACTCTGCTGGGCCTCTCCTCCTGCTTAGAGATCCTAGTTCTCAACCTCTCCATGTTCACAGAGCCAAAGATCAGAAGTGAGTCCTCTGACTGGCCTGCCCCCAGGCTGTCCACAGCCCAGAAAAGGTCAAGACTCTACTGGTAGCCCTTTTTTCTTGGAGGTTGGAGAAGGCCAGTGGGACTGACAGGAGCCAGCCCTAAGTGTTCGTAGGGGAAGTTCTATCTAGTGTGGAGAAGGGGAAAACTGAGAGGCGAGAAGTCAGTGTCCTTCGGTGACCTTGAAGCAACTTCAGGACTTTACTTTCCTAGAACGCAGCGAGAAGTGTTCTGGAAGCCGTGGGAACAGGAGCAGTGCTCCAGGCCGCATCTTGAATGGATCTTCATGGTCCAAGCAGGTGTTTGGGAGGAAGAGGTGGAGGCAGATGCTGAGGGTCAGGCCACCTCACCAGCAAAGGCTTGCTTGAGAAGGAACCTCTTGCTGATATTGTGGGGGAGCTGCATTCCTGGCGTTTCAGTGGCCTGACCTGGAGACTCAGCTCTCCCTGGTCCTATCATGGTTTGGCTAATTTCAAGGGAGTCTTAGGTCATGGCTTTATTTTTGCTACAACATGCAGTTTAAGGAAGTTCTTGTTTGTAGGGCCTTTGTTAATGGGAACATTTTGATCAGAGAAAACATTTCTTCTCTCCATGTGAGTTGATGGTACTGCTCATTTCCTTCTCCACTGAGGCTGGGAGATCATCTTCCTTCAAAGCAAACTGTGCCCACTGACATGCCATTCTTTCACCAGCACTTGCCAAGCTCTCCTAAGCAGGTGGGCTTCCATAATTCCTGTTTTCTAGTTTGTGGTAACTAAGTCTTTAATACTCCAGTAGCCAGGCAATCTTTGAACTTAGCCCTCTGCTCTTTGGGCCTCACATGTCTTTCTGGTTTGGGCTCTGGCCACTTCCCTTTCAATTTTTGAATCTTTTTCTCTGTTTAGTTGGCTTGGCAAGGTTCCCTCTATAATTACCTCACTAATTCCTGCTCTTGGTCATCTTTCTTTCTTGTGGCCCACATTCCCACCTCCCCTGAGTGAGCTTCATGGTGCTTTGTGTTGAGCAGCCAGGTGAGGGCTGTGACAGGCTCAAATCTGATTGACATTCTTCCCCAGGACCAGTTAGAGACAGCAAATATGAAGCAGAAAGGCCTGGTTAAATGCTTGGGTTCCCTTCTATCAATGAAGCTTCCAGCTTGGGTGTAGCCTGCTGAGCCAGAGGACCTTATTGGTGTAGTAATGTGTCACATATTCCCTTCCCATCACAGAGACCCAGCATGCTGTGAGGCTCCCTTTAGGCACCTGAGCAGGGAGGGGTGGGAGGTAGAGTATTCTTTCCTCCAAAGGTGTGAGGCCCTGGCCCACCACACTGTCCCTACACTGGTTACCTCACAGCACTGCCCTCTCCATGGCTTTTCCTGTGTACTTAGCACCAATGTTTTGAGTCAAGGTTATGTTTTGTTTTGGTTTTGCATGCAGAAAATGGATCATGACTATTTAGAAATTTTTTTGAAAACTACCAGCTGAGTGGCTGACTTCGGTGGCTCTTTGCAAACATTTGAGCTGATCCTGCTTTTGATTTAGTCCTATAGTGACCACATTTTGAAGTCAGTCAAGCCCTTTGGCCCTTGACAAAGTCAGGAAATGGAAATACAATGAGTTCTGGATTCTGTGATGCAGAATGCAGTCCTGAGGAGAAATTGGGCTTCTTGGGTGTGCTGAGAAACGAGAGTGGAGTGACTTCAGTTGATGATGCAAAGGGGATTTTAGTGTAAAACTTGGTGCAGGATGAACTTGCAGAGCTCTCTGCCAGAACATGGGTAGATTGGTCCTGCCTGACTTCTAGCAATTGCCAACTACACATCTTCTGTAGGTACCCTCTCTCTAGTGGCAGCCACCAGACTGTCTATAGGCTCTGCTCCATGCAGGCACTGCCATCAACCCCAGTGGACTCTGGCTCCCTGTACCCATTTCTGGTGGCCCATCTTTGTCTTGCTCCTAAGACCTAGGCCCCTCCTTATATCCTCCTGGACTCCGCTCCCTCTCTCACTCCATAGTATCACCTATAGTCTTCTCTTCTGAATTCCTGCACTGAGATTTTACTCCGTCTGGATCACCACCGGCTGTGTTTCCTCTCCTCCCACTCCCTCACTCCTATTTATTTAAATTGCCTGCTCCTTTAGCCCAGTTCCATGACCTCAGCTCTCTCTCGGTTCTCCCAACCTTTCAGCCTTCTCCTGGACTTCTTCCTCTCCCCAGCCTGAACCCATGGCCCATCACACACTGACTTCAGCATCCTGAACTTTCTCATCCCCTTCAACTTTTGTTGAAACTGTCAACCATTCTCCATTTTCTGCATCAACCTATTTTCTGCTTCCTCTTCCTAGGCTGCTAACCATGGCAAATTCATAGTTGACAGCCTCAGTTGGGCTCTCAGTATTGATTGATATATCTTTGACTTGTTATTTCTCTGCTTTCCGTCCGTTCCCTTCGCCTTTGCTCTCAGCAAATGACTGACCCCAGTGCCCACTTCACATAAGAGAAGACCTAAAGCAAGAACTTCCCTGCCCACTTGCTCCTCTCCCTGTCCCATCTCTCTGTGTCTGTATCCCTCCTTAGCTCCTTCACTCTGGCTTCTATTTGGTGCTCTATTTCTTGATTCCTGCTGTATATCCTCCAAGACTCTTCTGTGTCCCTATCCCACTGCTCCTACTTTCCAGGGTCTTCACCCTCCCTCTCCATTGGTTACCTCCGCATAGCCTACAAACAAAGTTCTCCCCAAGATTAAAACAAAATTCATTAGAGTCTGTTGCCCCTTATACTTTTTCCTTGTCAGTCAAGTTTCTTTAAAAAAATAATCTTTTTCATTGATTCTTCTCAGTCACTCTTCAACCCTCTATAGTTTTTCATAAGTCACCAGTGACCACCCAGTTGCCAAATGAAATGAATACCTTTCAGTCTTCAACTGTCTTGAACTCTCTATAGCATTTCAACATCATCTACCAATTCCTCTTTGAAACACCCTCCTCGCTTGGCTTTTATGACCCCACAAGTCTCTGGGTTATCCTCTTACCTCTCAGCCACAGAAGCTGAGCCTTCCTTGAAACCTTGACAGGGGGATACATCTGTAGCTTCCTGTGGTCTCTCCTTTTCAGGAGTTTAGTAGGCAGGAGGAAGCACAGCCACCCCTGCTTCTGATCCTCTATTTCTGCCTGTTTTCTTTGAGTCCATTTCTTCTCCTGGACTCAGTTCTCCTCATGCCAAGCATGTTTTTGAGCTCTGCTGGGAGGACAGCATTTGTGAGTCCGTCTCTCTGACTCTCCCAGTGCAGCATGGAGACAGATTTTAGCCATGTTTGCTAAGAGGCCCATCTAAATCAGCCCAAGAGTGTGGATTGAGTCTTACCAAGAAGTATTTTGGCAAATGGATTACCAGGCTGATGGGTAGCTCATCACCATGATCTCCATGCCAGTTAAAGCCAGCCACAGTTGGTGAGGAGCTTGGGATCATGGCAAAACACGTTTCCATGCATGGTTCAGTGCTGCTAGCCAGGAGGAGAATCCTGGCAGGGGTGGATGTTGGCCACTGATAACATTCCGATGGAGGCAAACTGGGAAGCACTGTGATTCATCACTTGCTTGGGGCTCAGCTGGGGTCAGCCTGGCCCCCTTTAGCCTGGTCTTTCCCATCTGTACTGATCATCACCACCTCTGTTCCTAGAGCTGGAGGCAGATGTTGGTTGTTTTCTTGGAGGTAGGGAGGTATAGTAGAAAGATATCTGATTTGAGAGGCTGAACACCTAAATTTTGGCTCTGCCATTATGAACTGTGTGACCTTGGGTACCGTTTCCCCATCTATAAAGTTGGAGGGAGTGTTGAAAGCAGTGATCTCTCAGAGGCTCTCCAGCTTTAAAGATGGTAATGGTGATTCTAACTCTAAAGCTCAGGCCACATAGGGAACAAGGGAATGCTGAGGGTAGGACACAGCTGGGGAGTCTTGGCCAAGGCAGAGCAACAGGATTCTCAGGCCACAATGAGCTGCTTTGAGGAAAGTCTGCAGTAGCTGGTGCTGCTTCTTGAGCCATATGCCCATTCCTCAAGCTGCACCCCTTTCATGGATATCTAGGGTGAGTTCCTCCTAGGCCTTTTCTAGAAGCGACCATTGGATCCAAAGTGATTGAGGGCATGAGGGAGAAATATTTAAGGAGAAGAATCACTTATCTTAAAAGGACCTACACATTCAAGAACAAATTAA